TTATGTTATAAAAATTGGTTTAGATATAAAAGCTTGGAGAATCGGAAAAATATAAAGTGCTACATAGGTAGTCTAAGAGTATAACTTGTGATGCTTAAAATTCTGCTTTTAGTATATTTTATAATAAGTTAAATACTATAAGGAGTGATAGATATATGTATAAATCAGTTAAATAGATTAGAAAAGTAAAAAATTTAATTCTTGTAAAGTGAATTATAGATGAAATTTTTTTAAAAAATAATTTTGTTAGATAAGGATATTCAATATAGGTGGGTGAGACATTTTCATAAACTTTTTAATAAAGATTATGAAAGTTTGATCGACATTAATGATTTTAACTTCTTAAATAATAACATAATTTTGCATTTCTACCGTCACATTAATAGAACAAAAATTGAGAAGACTTTAAAGAAAATTATGTGTGAAAAGCAATAGATCCTGAAGATATTTCAATAGAAGTGTGAAGTGGTTTAGAAGATATAAGAATTATTTTGGTTTACTAAATTTTTTAATATTATTTTAAAAATTAAAAAAAATGTGTGGTTAATGGTGAGTCTTTTATTCTTATTTTTAAGAATAAAGGAGATTTATAAAAGTGTGCAAATTATAGAGAAATTAAGCTAGTATATCATACATTAATCTTACGGGAGAGAATAATTGAACATAGGCTACGATATGTTATAAAAATTTCTCAAAATTAGTTTAGATTCATGTTGTGCAAGTCTAAAATAGAAGTTATACATTTATTGAGAGGTTTGATGGAGAAGTACAGAGAGAGTAAAATGAATCTATATATGATTTTTGTTGATTCAGAAAAAAATAAAATTGAAGATATAATTCCAAGAAAAGTACTTTGGAGTGTTCTAGAAAATAAATAGTGATGTTGTTTATATTCAAGTCATTAAATATATGTGTACTATAGCTGTTACTTGTGTTCGAACATAAGGAGGTTTGACCAAGTATTTCTATTTCTATTAGATTACATCATAGATCGAATTTAAGCCCATTTCTTTTAGGTTTAGTTATGGATGTTCTTACTAGACATTTATAGGAGGATGTAACTTGTTGTATGCTTTTTGTTGATGATATCCTTCCTGTGGATAAGACTGGAGAGGGTTTTCATGAAAAACATGAATTATGGAGGTTTACTTTTGAATCTAAAGGATTTCGTTTGTGTAGATCTAAAACTGAATACAACAACAACAATAACAACAAATCCTTTATCTTATTGAGTGTGGTCGGTAACAAAATCTTATTTCTCAATTGTGTTCTCTAGAGTGCTATATTTTCATTTAATTCTAATAGATTAAGCTCATTTTTTATACAACATACTCAATTCTTCTTAGATCTACCTCAAACTTTCTTTCCACTCTAATAGATTAAGCTCATTTTTTATACAACATACTTAGATCTACCTCAAACTTTCTTTCCACAAGTCAAATTAAAATATCTACTGTTAAGATCAGTAGATGATTGACATTTAATGTCATCAAACCATCGAATATGATTCTTTCCAATCTTGTCTGCCATTGAACCTACATCAACTCTTTTACAGATATATTCATTTCGTTTTTCTGTCTCAAAGTGTAAAGCCACTCATCCACCTAAGCATTCTCATTTCAACGACACTTAGCTTAGTTTTATGTTCTCTTTTATAGGTGAACTTTCTGCACCATAAAGCATTGCAGGTCTCACCACCATCGTATAAAATTTTCCTTTAACTCTAAATGGTGTTTTTATGTCACACAATAGGCCCGAGGCCCGATGCATTCCTCCCCTGAAGTCATCCGACTTGAATTTTACTATTAACATCTCCATCTATATCACATCACTTTGAATAATAGACCCTAGATTTCTGAAATGTTCACTAATGACTTTGTTAGCAATTGTTACAACCATACCACTAGATCTATTACAAAGCAACATTTTAATGTTCACTCTTTTTAATGACTTGATCAGATCTATTGTGTGATAGAAAAGCACCACTTAGAATTTTAAAGGAAAATTTTATTTTATAAAATTGTGATGAGACCTATAAGCGCAAAATGTTGGCCTATTAAAGAGAAGCATAAAATTAAGTGTTGCTGAGATGAGAATGCTCTGAAGGATGAGTGGCTTTACACTTAGAGGCAAAATACAAATGAATACATCTGTGAAAGGGTTTGAGTAGCTCTAGTGGCAGAAAGGATTAGAGTGAGTCACCTCAGATGGTTTCGTCAAATTAAACATCGATCATCTAATGGCCCAATTAGGAGAGTAGATGTTTTATGTTTTAGGTATGTTAAGAAAGGTAGAGGTAGACTTAAAAAGACTCAAGCATGTATAAAAAAATATCTTAGTTTATTAGAATAAAATAAAAATATGCCACTCAATAGGACACAATGGAGAAAAAAGATGCATGCAGTTGACTCCACTTTTTGGGATAAAGACTTGTCAGTGTTGTAGGCTTAATTTTTTGTGACTTTGCGAGCACATAGGCTTAATTTTTTGTGTTTTTGCGAGCACATTTTGTAAGGAATATGAACTCTCAAGTAGAAGAAGATATTTCTATATACTAAATATTTTGCTGTCAATTATATGAAATCTTGATATCTGTATAGAAGTTTGTTCTCTCCTTATGACTCTAGAGGTGTAATATACACGTTTAATAATCAAATGTTATTTCAAGCAGAGATTTTTGAATCATCACTTATTTCAAGCAAATTACAACTGTTACTATTTCTTCAGGTGGCTTCTTGGTTATCCCGTAGTATATTTATTCCGGAAAGAGCACGCTGCTGATGCTGTGTATAATCTCTCCACAAAGTATCTCCATATCTACAAGATAGTTATTTGCAGGTTTGATGTTTTTGAATTCTTCTTCATTCTTTTAAAATGAGTTTCGTTTAGTTTCCACAAGGAAGTTTAACTGCTTTTGCAGACTTCAGACACCCAGCAGAAAAGCTTGCGAAGAAGAGCTGCTGAGGTTTGCATCTATAAATATACTTCAATCTTCCAGCTTTTAAAGTGTGTTAAAGTTTTTATGCTCGAATTCCCAACTGAGGTGGATCGCCTTGTCCTATGTGATGTATATAATGCATTGCAAATGCCGGCATCTCTTTCTTAATGAGTTAGAAAAATATTTATTATGACTATTGCATCCCAATTTTAAAATCTTTATTTCTCACCTACTATAGGAGTGGTAATTTGGTTATACCATTTTAGCTGTTTTTCAATGCTAGGAATTCGACAAAGGACATAAAAGAAGGGGTTAGAAGCTTAACTCTATGACTCGGGATTTCTGTTGGTATTATAAATACTTGGGATTTTATTTCACGGGATGACCTCCATACATTCCTTCTAATAGGATTGTGATAACTTGTTTTTGCCTTTTTGGCTGAATGTTCGAATGCTAGGCATTTGAGTCAAAGCAAAATAATAATAATAATAATAATAATAAGAGCAGAAGAGTTTAAAGCAATGATAATGATGCGAGATTCATATTGTTCTCATAAATTATTGGGAATCCATTTCATTACATGCCATGCACTTCAATCCAAAGAATGCCTTTAAGATTTGGATGTATTTCTTGAAATTTGCAAAGGTTCTTGTGAATTAATATCATTATTATAATTAAAATAATACATTATGAGAGCATATTTTTCAGCGCATACAGTGAAAAGTAGCACTTAATGAGATAACAAGTTGCTTAAGTACACGGGCTTCAGTTTGGAGTTACTTAATGAGATAACAAGTTGCTTAAGTACACGGGCACTTGCCATTAGTTCAGTTTGGAGTTGGGGTGTAAACGAGCCGAACACGAGCGAGCCCAGGCTCAGCTCGTGTTCGGCCCGTTTATATTTCAAGCTCAAATAGTGTGTTGGTGTTCGTTGTTCGGCCCGTTTGCTTAGCGAGTCGAACACGAGCTTTTCACGAACAAAGGGTCGTTTTGACAACCCTAATCACGTAGCCATAAGATGTTAAGGATTGGGGCAAGATTTAAAAATTATTGTTTATATTAAAATATCATTTGAATCTAATTTAATAATTTTTAATCTGTTTTCTTAATTAATACTTTTAATTGATTATAATTCTTTGTAGCCTTGTAGACTTTGGAGTGCATCTTCTCTACAACATAATCACCAACTCTCAATGTTCTACTCTCTATGACATGGCAAATTATTTTAGTGGAATAGCGAATTACTTCCAAAATAACCCTCTTCCTTCAAAATAATTTTTAGTTTTATTAAAATTATTTAATTGTTAGTTCGATTACATCTACACTTTGTATTCTCTTTTTTGAAAAGGTAGGCCTTAAGGACACTAAGGTTAGTGTTTAGCTTATGAATTGAGTATAAGTCCAATATAGTCCTCCGACTATTAAGAAGTGTCCATTTTTGTCCCAGAGTTTTAGTATACTCCAATTTAGTCTCAAACTATTTAAATGTGTTTAAAATTGGTCCTAAATCATATTTTTTGTTAAATTTAATGGTTGTCTGGATGAATTGAAGGGTATTTTTGCCTTTTATTTAATTATTCAAAAAGTATCTGATTTGTATATAAATCTCTTTTGTTATTTGTTGTTGAATAGTTATAATTTTTAATTTGCATTAATAAATCTCCTCACAAGTCGTCACTGTTTTAAATAAATTTTTTTTAAATATTTAAGAATTATGCAATAAGAGCTCACTCAATATAAAATTATATGAATTACTTGATTTCAATTGAGTTTTTTATTTTAATATTACTTGTTAAAGAATATATTTTAATATAGTTAAACTTAACATGTAAAACTAATGAATGAATTTATTTTGCGCTAAAATATTCTGAATGTGAATGATAAAATTACTCTTGGTGAGTTTATTTCGTGAATTTTGCAAATAGATAAAATTATTCTTCAAAACGTGAAAGGAATTGTTAAATTTAATGAAACATAAGATTTAGAGTTAATTAGGTGCATTTATTAATTGTCTGGGACTAATTTAGAGTATTTTAAAAATCGGGGATTAAATTATACTCTTTTTAATAGTTGTGGGATTAATTTGGGCTTTTACTCTTTTTTTATTATTTAAAAATTGGTATTAAACCAATAAGGGAAATACAGAGAATAGCCTGATGTTATGATTACCAATTAGGCAATATGATTAATATTATCATCTGGTAAGATGGAACACATTCTACTAATAGGCTGTTAAATGTGTTTAAAATTCAAATTTATTCTGCTTTTCCAGTTTCTCGGTACCATATGAACTGAGCTTAGAGCGGGAAAAAGAAGCATGGGCAGAAGCTTTTTTCGCACACATGCTGGCAAAGTTTGAGACATGCAAGCAGGTTTGGTCGAGAATTCGCTTAGAGGTCATTCCATGCTTTCCTCAAGCAATTGTTCTATAATTATACATGAATTTTATTGTAATGCTCAGAAGCCTACAATTATTTTATTGAATTTCAATGCTAATAGTTCGATAAAGCACTTGAGACATAAAATGGATTGAAATGACTTTATGTAAATTGGATTGAAATGACTGTGAAAAAATTACAAACCATATCTTTCCCTGAAAATCATATCTTTCCATTAACAAATACTCATTTAATAACATTTTATAGTTTTGTGTGCAAAAATTAAAATTATATCTTTCCTATAACTAACACTATTGAAGGTAGGTTGAAGAGGCGCTACACCTGTGTAACACTTGAAACCCTTTTCGCCAAGAGTAACCAGAAGAAGCTCCATGGATGGATGCCAGCGTGGTAGAGCTACTTCATCTTCAACTGAGTCTTTTCCAGCCAAGAACTCCATCTCAGCATTACTAATCTTAATGATATCAGCCTGTTCCCATTTGCTCATGGTTTGCTTCTTTGCCTCTGCTTCCGATGGCCATAATGGCAGAACTCCCCCACCTATTTTGCCGCTTCAAATGTGGAGATCTGCATGGTTCTGTGATCAAGCTTATAGATCCGTAGTGGAAGATTTTTGCCTGGATGTAGTCGAGAGCAAACAGGTTAGTGTTAGCATTAACAAAAATTTTTGGAAGAGTTACATACATACCACTCAATTACCACTCAATTCCTATCCACTCAATTCCTATGCATTTACATATCTAACATATAAGCTTCAATTCTTACATCATGCCACCTTGTCTATTCATGAAAAGGTGTATTCACTTTTTAAAAGTTTAAATGGCAGGAATCTTTATGTGATATGAAAGATTTGGATGGTATAAATGTAAAAAAGCAAAGTTTATGTGTTAGACGTGTTAATACATTGGAATTAGGTGGTATATATGTAAATATGAGCAACTCTAAAAAATTTTCACTCCGGATTCTGAACGTAGTATCACGTCTGGAGTCCAACAAATTTATCCCACGTGTAATGGTGGGTCCCACACTCTAAGTAATTAAAAAAAGAAAAAATTTAATGCCCGACCCGCCCGTTCAATTAATCCGACTTCTAGAGTATCCCGCCTATTGAAATACGGTTGTCGAGAACCTTTTTGGCTTCCGCGAGACTGATTTAAAGAGCTCCCATTGTCAATCTGCTAGGTTTTCGCTAGTGTTCTAGCGTTGAAAGGTTAGTGTCGAAGGAGTAAGAAAATGGGAGTTGGAGTATCCCAAGAATATGCAGCTGGAAGAAGAGGCGGAGAAAATGGAGTTCGATGATCCCAAGAATATACAGTTGGAAGAGCTCATAAGACTGGAGTTGGGGGAGGCCAACAAAGGTGACCGGGAACAACTGAAAAAGAAGTTGAAGAAAGAAAGGAAGAAGAAGGATGCGAAGAGGTCGAATACAGAGGCAAATGAAGCGAAGTTGTCCTTGTATATGTGATCGCTTTATTCTGATTAGTTTTTTGAATTCAATCTAGTTTGGCAGGTAGTTTATGTTCATAGTTGGGTTATTGCTGATGTAATTTTAGTTTTTTCATGGGTTATTCATGGTTTATGCTTGGGGGTTCATTGCTAGTTTATATTTTGGTTTTATTTGGGTTATTTTTGGCAGCTATTATTGATTAATTGTTGGGTTATTTATGAGTTATTCATGGGTTACACATGAGTTAATGTAGCTGTGGTTTTTGTTCTTTTTACGAGTTAATCTAGATTATTCTTGGGTTATTTGTGTGTCATTATTGGGTTATTTTTTTATTATTTATAAATTAATATCGCATTAGGGTCTGGTTTTGTGGGAGTTATTCTCATGATAATATTTGGTTAGCCAGGGTTTATTGAGGAGTTAATTATTAGGTTTTTCTTTCATTATTGTGGGGTTATTTTGCTGTTTGTTTTGGTTTAGGGATTTCGTGGAAGTTATTCTCCGGCTAGTGTTGGGTTATCGAAGGGTTACAATTATGTATATTTTTAGGTTATTCTTAGGTTATTGTAGGCTTATTGGTGGGGTTTTTACTGGGTTATTGAAGGCTTATTATTGGTTTATTTCTACGTTACTTTTGGTTTGGTCTGGGATTTAATCTACGGTTATTTCAGGGTTATTTAATAGTTATTGGGGAAGGTTATCTGAAGCTATGTTTTGAAGATTTTTATGCTGTTAGTGTTAATAATTTACTTCTTACTCATGTAGGTTGATGAAAAAGAAGGGAATGAATTGCATATATCGTCCTTCGACAGTTAGAGACGTGTTATAAAAGGTTCGGCCCACTATTTTCAAAGAGACTTGGAGAAGACTGAGAGAATTGAATGTGCATCAATTTTTTGAACTCTCCCCCATATCCTTAAGATCATATCCTAACTATGCACATTTTGAATTGCTCGGATATTGATCGTGTGCTATTCAGATTAGGTGGGAAGGAGGTGAGTTTTGATGCGGATCAAGTTGCTTTGCTAATTGACATGCCCAACAGAGGACCAACAGCAAGCTAGAAAAAACAAGCCCTCAGTGGTATGGATGCCAGGAAAATAAAGAGTGAACTAGCTAAGGTGTCACTCAGAGAGTCTTTCGGTGTCGTCGATGAACTATTTATTATGTTTTTTGTTGGCAAATTTACTAGTCCCTTCGAGCAATTTTGGTGTGGTCGAATGACTTTATTCATTTGCTGAGAATTTGGATTCTTTTGCTACATTTAATTGGCCTGCAACTATATGTGAATACTTCATTGAGCAAGTCAATGCTTGTGTCATTAAAGTAAAGATGGGTCAACCATTGGGTTAAACTAAATGGATTTGTTTTCCTCCTAATGGTTAGTGTATTATCCATATTTGCAAAAAATTTATGCATTCTAGTGTCATTATATCATAATATTGATTTATTTGTGTTTGTGCAACTGTGGTTTTATGAGCGCACAACTTTGTAGTCCCTGTTGTTCCTGAGGCCAGGTTTCACATGTTGAGGTGGCCGCACTTCACATGTTAGTAATTTTTATTCAGTTTAGAGTTATGTTATGTGCTACTTTATTTTGTTGTATTTGCAATTGGGCAGCTCTACCTAAGTGGTACTTGAGTTTGAATATATTTTTGTATGTTTTGGATTCTTTTGCTTATCTGAAATATGAGGAGCAAGGTTTACTTGCGGCTCCCACTGATTTAATCTCTTATCTTATCACACAACTCAAAGCCCACGCCGAACCACCATCGCCCGATTCTCCTGTCGGTCATCATCTGGTCCTCAGTCGAGCCATCCCTCCACCAACCCAGTCACAAACATATCCAGACAACGGCGTGGGCACAACAAATCTCTTGCAAATGTTGCGGGAATAACAAAAATTTCTTTTTGAATTTAGAGGGTATGTAAATAGTCGCCTTAATAAAATTGAGATCATGACCGGAGAGATCCACGGTCAGAAATCGGACAAATAAAGAAATCAATAAATAAAGGTGATGGGGAGTCTACAAAGGCCACAGGCACAAGAAAAAAGAGGAAGGTAGTCTTCCCATTCACCGTTTCTGGGAGGAAGATGGGAAGATCGATAGAGGAAATTGAAGAAATTCAAAAGTGTAAATTAGATATACACATTTATTTAGAGATTTCTGTCGAACTAATAAAAGGAGATTCCAATGTAGAACATGCCAAAATGTCAGATGTATCAGACACATCTGACATTCTTTATACGCAACCACCTATTCTTACCAAGGAAGTTGGGGAACACGCTGCAGAGATCACAACAAAGGATGTAGCTGAAGATGTTCCTGAAGAGGAAGACCTGCAGAAAACAATTATTCTTTATGAATGTGACCTCCTTACTCAGGTAGTTCCAGCACCGTCGGCTGAAGGTCCTCCCGTCATCGAGTTCCCTAGCCGTGATCTCGTCCCAACACACATGCAACAAGTGATTGATGTATGTTTCTATAAATACACCGCCCGATTATTATCTCTGATTTAGGGTCTATTTGGGGCAGCTTCTGCATTTCAGGAGAAGCTGTTTATCCTGAAACGCGGCCTGCGGGCCGGCTGCAGGGGTCGGCCCGCGGCCCGCGTTTAGTGTAAAAACCCAAACGCAGTTTCGGATAAGCTAGCGAAACGCGTGAACCAAACGGTACAACGGTTTTTTCAAAACGCCGCCCACACTTATAAGCTGCCCCAAACAGACCCTTAATATCTACATGCATCAATGTGTTACATACATGTTTTAATTTTTTGCTGTTTTTTCTCGTATGCCTGAATCATGTAATTACACATAACGAAACCTACTTATTCCTACAAAACTACTCATAATTCATTGAGAAAACACAATTACACTAAAATTTGAAAGTAGAAATCATGCTAACAAACAAAAAGTCTAAATTAAAACCAAATGTAGTCACAAAGATAAAAACTTATCTTAAATCCTCTCCACTAAATTCTTGAAGTTCCTTTGAATTTATTCTCTTCTGTTCTCTTACAATACTCTCTACTCACACACTACAACTCCTCTCTTCTACTTCTCTCTAAAAGTATCCTAATTAATCTAAAAGAGAGAGAGGTGTCGACGATGTCTAGAGGGGGGCGGCGACTCTGAAGTGGCTAGGGGAAGGCCTATGAGAGAGCCCTTTTCAATCCAATCCAAGTCTTCTTTTATAATTTTTTAACAGATGTCTTGGTGTCTCTTCAAAATTCGTCCACATTCAATAAATCTTCCCAGAGTTCTCCTTTCAAAAGCCAATTGAATGTGTTTTCGTGTCCATTAACTATTTTACACATTTTCACGAATAATTGCATCAAACACCTCTTCAAAAATTCGTCTAAATTAATTGAATCACCAAGTAACTACTTCTGAAGCTTAAGCGCGAGGTACTTGGCGCTTAAGCGCGTCTTTCTCGATTTTACTGGCACTTAAGCGTCAGTTATGGGCGCTTAGGCGCCACAGTTCTTTTGCAGACCTTCATTTTTCTCCAAATTTGATCCCTTTTCACTCTTTTCACCATTTTCATCCATTTTTTTCACTCTTTTCACCCCTTTTCACTCTTTTCACCATTTTCATCCATTTGATTGTACATGAAAGAAAAATACACAAATACTTTCCATTAAAGTGCAATATCTCAAAAATGTGTATAAAAATGTATACATAAAAATTATATATTTTAGGTGTATCAGATATCCATTACAAAGTTGGTATCTCAAACCCTTACCCAATGCCAAATAACACATTCCTGATTTTATGAGGGCTAGCAGTGTCACTTGAGACAAGAAAGAGATGTTCAATAAGAGACATTTGTTTTCCAAACAAGTGCAATTTGTGTCTGTCATGATTGCTCTCCATAACTATATTCGACGACATCCTTAGCGTAATGACATTGACTTCAGTAGGGTTGGTGAAGATCAATCACACGTCTCTATTGAAGCATATGAATACCACCATGGGCAATCTTTATGACATGACAAAATTGATTTGCATGAGACTTGCACTACGTCTGGGAAGGGGCAAGCGAGGTCATAGAGTTGAGGGAGCGAATTACAGATGTTATTATTGGAGGGTGAATGGAGGGAACATTTGATTTCTTTTTGCTACTTTATTTATAATGTGTTATGGGAATATTTATTGTTTGTTGTATCAATACTTCTATATAATTGATAAATTTTATGAATCTCAATTTGATTTATGATTCTTATACATGTATTCTTTACCACCTGGATGGCCGATGAGGCAGCCGTGGATATAATATGTAATATAATTTTTTATTGCAATTTTTTTTGAGGTCTATGATGAGACATTTGACCTTAAATGTTCTTTTGGATGGCCCATGTGCCACTATTGTTTCTTGTCACATATGAAATTCTAATGAAGGCAACCAAGTTCCTCTCTTTCTTCAGTGTTATAGTATTTTAGGTTCATCTAGATGACGTTTTTTTTTTGTGATATGCATATATGATACACACAAGCTCGATATTATGTGGGTTAAAGACAACCAAGAACTTTTTTTTTGTATGATCTGCTATCTTCTTGTAAGTGACAGATTCATTGTTTTATACATTGTGTTCTGTGAGACCTCATAGATGCATAAAACTTTAATGCATTACTTTTATTATTCATTTTCACTAATTTTGCATCAAAGGATCTATGCTTTGTCATTTTAAGACTTTAAGAAAGACGAGTTTGAGGATTTTTAGTACCACTAGAGCATCATACTGCTTCTGTGAACTACAATGTTCTTTGCTTACTTTGCGAGGGCCACATGACTACAAGAGATAGTTTTTTAGGTATCCAAGGAGAAGAGTAGAATGCTGGGACTTCTTTAGGTAGGCGGATGGGATGGAGGATTCCACTGATGATAGTGATTGTGCATGGATATTTTCTTTGGAGGATGGCTTATCGTGTAACATAAATCACGTGCATTTTAGAAATAATATTATCATAATAAAAGATGTTATTTAAATAGTCCTTTTTTATTTTGATGTTAATGCTACTCACTCTTTAGTGATGTGTCTATTTTTCTTATATAATTTTTAAACTGGTTTTTTACTTTTAAGTATAGAATGTGCTAGTATAAATTACTCTGTTAAAAATAACATTATAGTACAGAGGCAGAAAGGTCTTTATTCAGAACAACTACATCACATCAGTTTCAAAACTATAATAAATAAACAGACAACAAGCTTATCTGCATCAGCTTTTAAATAAGCTGCAACACTCTGTAGCTTAATAATAAACTGTTGTGCAGCAAATGCCATAGGACGCTACTGCGAAAAAGCTGCTGCTAATAAGCTAACTGACTGTTTGTTTTTTGTAGTTTGAAAACAGCTATGCTGCAACTATTTCTGGACAAATGACCATTCTGCCCTTGTATAGTAATGTTGTTTGCAATATAACTGTTCATACTAATTTATTTTATACTTAAAAAACAAAATCTCAGTGCATAACATTATAAAATAAAGATAGACACCTCGATGAATATTGCATGAAATGATTACTAAAATTAAGAAAAAGACTATTAAAACAATAATTAATAATACGATAATATTATTTTTAAAATGCAGATGACCACTCTCGACAGTGGAATCATCCAACCTATCTACCCATCAAAATTAGCTACAATTTTTCGTGCTCTACAGGTAACTGTAAAACTGTCTCCCGTAACTATGTGACTGACGTGAAGTTAGTAAGAAACTTTGAATTCCACAGTAACGGTGCAATCCTCGGGAGGTACCGGAAATCATTGAGCTCATCTTTCCTGAATGCTTAATAAAATGTCTCATAAGACATAACACAAGTAAAAAGTGATACCAAAATAATTATTTTAATTTTATACAACTGTGAGGTCTCAGAGAACTCAATATATAAACCAACGAATCTGTCTCTACAAGAAGTCAATAAACCAAAAAATGGTTCATGTTTGCCTTTAACATATGCAATACCAAGCTCGTGTGTGTCACATATGCATGTCACCAATAAAGACCATCCATATGAACCTTAAAAACCATAACACAAAAAAAGAGAAACTTGGTTGTCATCATTAGGATTTCACCCGTGATACCTACCGACTGCGATAAATAGGTCTTCCAGAAGCACCCATATGGTCAAACGTCTCATCATAGACCTCCAAAACCCACTAAACTAAAAATAAAGAGAAGAAAAGGAAAAAAAACACTTATAAATTGCGTAAAAAACCAAAATAATCAATATCAATACACATGAAACAGAAAAAAATATGAACTATATTAAATATTGATACAAT